GGAAGGCAATGCGAAGGGCGGAAGGAAAGGTCGAATGCAGAATCAGCGCTTTCAAAGGACGCCTGCAGGCGAGGTCAATGGAAGCAGCCGATCCCAACGAGAAGCCCCAAGCAATGATGCTTTCCTGTGGCACAAGCAACTTGTCCACAGCGAAGTCGTAGACGGCGGCGATGTCGCAGTAGACGTTCGATTCTTTCGGTCGACCATCGCTCTGACCGTAGCCGCTGTAATCGTATGCAACGAGGTCGCAATACAACGTCTGGCATATGGCCAACAACTCAGGCAAAGTCCAGCCGAGGTCCGTACAGTTGCACTAGAAAAGAGTTTGTTGCCCTTCACTTTACAATTCCAGATCAAAAACACCGAATAATTATTTAGCATACTTGAGAATAGAGGATAGTGAACTTCGGCGGTTGATGAATGGGATTGCGGATATTTACGCAAGCAATTCTTTGGTTGTGGGTGGAAGTGACAAACGAAAACATGATTTCATAGCCCTTCCTTCTGAACGCCTGCAATATTTCGGTGCTAGGTTTTCTCAGCATCTCGCAAAATTCAATATCATACGTGACCAGGCCATTTTTATATCCTGTCTGGCGAAGTCGGTAAAATGCTGGTTTTGGAGGCCTGGAAAAAGAATAAATTACTCAGATTATGCGCTTGTGTAAAGAGTCTACTTCCAACGATGAATTAAAAGCTGCTATTTAGATTACAAATAAGTTTTTGCTAGAATCCATAATATGAGGCATAAAGAGAAAAGTAGTGGAACGGATCCCATTGCCTTTTCACATGAACAATACTTTTTGAGGGAGCCCATTACTAGCATCAGTCGACCTGGCATCGGCAGATCACTCAGTTCTTCGATGTCTTTAAATACGATCTCCTTCTTTGAGTATACGCTTGGATATTGTCGTGGGCATAAAATTGCAAACAATATTAGTCTTAAAACTTTTTATTTCTGAACCAATGCGTGGTAGGTGCTAAACCACTGATGTACGTAAGCGCAAAGGAATAATGACTGTGCTACCACCGAGTTGTGTATTGCTTCGCGGCAGTGGTAATATTGTAAGGACCTGTCAACAAGTCGCGAACTGTCACTGGGTCAAAAGTCAATTGTTTGTTGCAGCCGGGTTCCGTTTGCTGAAAGGACATGTAGTTTGCTAGAAGCATTAGCAGAAATCACAAGCAGACTAGCATTTTATTGAGCGGGGGAGGTGTATCCATTGAAACCGAGTCACTATGAGTTACATGAACATAGAACTAAGTGATTAATAGTCTGTTTGTTTTCACTTTGACACATGTGCCGTTAGTGAGACAATATTCTTTTGTCAGTTCCAGGTTCAAAGCAGTGCAAACTAATAAGGCAAATACAATAAATAAAGCATTTCATTGGAAAAAAAATAATAATAAACTCCGCCATGGCCGGTCCCAAGCCCGGATGAGAAAGGAGGAGGGTTGGAGACCGTGGCAAGTC